CAAAGAACAGTTTTCCTTCTTGGGTCACCCCTTCCATATTTCGTCTTCACGGAGGTTTTCTCCATCCCCTCCCATCTAGAGAAAAGGCAAAAGAAAGCCCCACTTGAAGCAGCCAAGGCAAATGGTCTCAAGCCTTCGCACTTAAGTGGCCATAAGATACACTACCTCTCTGCCATAACAGGAGCTAGACTTAAGTATATCGACACTACCAGCTGTGCAACCATTAACGCTGTTACGAAGGAAATTCTCAGCTTTGCATATCCAATAGAAACAAGGCGCCTTCTTCTTCCTTAAGAGCCACCGCAGCCCTGCTGCGGGCAAACTGAGACACCAGGAGCTAAACCAGGCACCGGGGGCCTTTCAACAACCGTGAGGACAAACTCTCCCCTTCGCTGCGCTCGTCGCCACCGGGGCCGGCACCCCGCTTCTGCACCGGCACCGCCGCTCCCGCAGCGGCCTCCGCCGGGTCCCGCCGGGCCCCCGGCACAAGGACAGAGCCTTGCGACCCCCGCCCCGGCCCCCGGCTGCTCCCCTGCGGGTCGCCCCGAGGGGTCCCGGGCCCGTCGGGGCCGGTGCTGCCGCTAGAGAGCACTGCCGGATCGCGCCGCTGACGGAGGCGCCGCCGGGAAGCCGCGGGGACGGGCGGGTCACGGTTTTGCTGCGGTGGTTGTGCCCGGAGGCTCTGCCGGCTCGGGGAGCTGTCTGCTTGGGGTCTCCGGTTCGTCGCTGAAGGCTTTTTCCTGCTGGAAATGCAAAGCTGCTGCTTTGGGTGGCTGAGAGTTGGCGGCTAGTTCGTTTGCTGAATACAACGCTTAGCCGTGAAAACGCAGCGCCGGAGCTGCGCCTTCAGCCTGCAGTTAAACATTTCGAAAAACAAGCAGTAATTTCCAGGGGCATGTAATTCTGCGCTGAAGCCATGCTTAATGCTTTTGCAAATTACTTGGAAGATGGTGTGTACAGGAGAGGGCTGAAAAAAGAATCGTTGTTAAGGCTACGAAGCCCAGATCACACAGGTTACCACACAAGCCGTGTCTTGGTTTCTTTGCTCAAAGTTTTTTTGTGTTTCATCAGTGAAGAACTCGGGCAGTCTGAGGGAAACAAAGGCATAATCGTGCTCAAAGCCCCAAGTCCATCCAGATGGACTGAGTTTCAGCCAGTGGGCTCAGGCAAGTGGGCATTGCTCCTGCTTCATGTGGATGAGCCCACACCTGGAATACTGGATCCAGTTAGAGTAACCCAGTACCAGAAAGACATTGTTACACTGGAGCCCAGCTGAGGTCATTGAGGTAGGGAGCTGGAGCATAGGACAGACTGAAGGAATCGGGTTTGTTCACCTGGAGAAGGCAAGCGTGGAGTCGAACTTGCAGTCCTGAAGAGGGTTACAGAGAAGATGGAGCTGCACTCTTCTCTGAGGTGCACCGTGATGGGGCAAGAGGTAAGTAGCAAAAGCAGTTGGTGAGGGAAAGTCTGGTTGGACATAAGGAAAAAGCTTTTTCCCTCGAGAGTGGGGCAGCCCTGGGATGGGGACCAGAGAGCAGGGGGATCTCCAAACTTGGTTGTAAAAAGCACTAAGCAGCCTGGTCAGAGTGAGCCATGCTCAGAGCAGGAGTTGGATTCAAGATCTCCAGAGATCTCTTCCCACTTAACTTTTTCCACAGTTATGTGATTCCCTGGTGAAACAGGAGAGCCAGGCCAGCCAGTGGAGCACTGCTGAGCCCAGCTAGGCACTCAGCTGCAGTCCATGCAGCCCTGGAGTATGAGAGGTATTTATTTAAATGGCTAACACAGAACAGGAAGGATCAGAGCTAACATGTTCTGAGCAGGAAATGACAGCCAAAGAGGGAGTGGGTATTTGCTGTCACCAGGATTTACTGCTTTAAAGTCAATATTTATAGATCAACTAGAAAGTTTTCTTATCTCTGCAAGACCAGGCTCTTGTGGCATGGAATGGATTTCCATTGACCTCTGGTGGCCTCTGGCTCTAAGTTGCTGGCCCACTTCTTTCTGCTCAGACTTAGCTATGACTTCACTTCTGCTAAGGTCCAGAAAACCCTCCCAGCTCAAAACATCACCTGTGAGCAACAGCCTGCTGCAAGTCACCCCTGACTTTCTTCAAATGCAGGGGAGCCTGTTTCATAAGAGCAATTTCAGAAGCAGGAAGCCTGGGTGCGCAAACCAGACAGCCTCTCTTCTCTCATAGAGCTGGAAGCATGTTTCCTGGGAGGACATTGGAAGGTAATTGGCAGTGGACAGAGGACAGTCTGGTTCTCCTGGATATGTTAGCTTCCCTCTCCTTAGCTGTCCTGTCATGACTGTCAGCCCTCAGGGTGGCTCCCCACCCTCTGCAGGACCTGGGGACAGGACCTGTGACCCTGAGATGAGCTTACAGCATCATGGTCAGCCCAGCTCAGTTGACATTAACAAACACAAAGCTGAACTTCACAAGTGAGGAGACAATCATAGCGGTTGTGCCCACCGCATATCACAGCGTGCCTGCCTTGGTCTGTGTGGCGCAGGTAGTAAGTAGATCAGAGCATCCTGGAAGAGCCTCATGCAGCCCTCTCACCACTACAGCACAGCAAGGAGGACAGCATTGTGTCAAGCACTGACCAAGTTCCCTATGCTCAGAAGCCACCTCCCTGCACCCATCACCTGTTCTTCATCATCAGGAAGGCTTCAGTCAGTTAAAGGTCTCTGACCTTCCCCCAGCCTTGACCTTCATGTCAGACCCAGACCCTACTTGTTATCCCAGAGGGTAGAAATTTCCTTTATTGGACACTGTTAAAGGCCCTGGATAAAGACATCTCTCTGGGGCTCAGGATAGAGGGAAGAGAGGGAGAAGGTGATGCATTGCACCTGCGAAACAGCATCCTCCCTGCCCTAGATACAGCTGTCCTTGCCAGCCTGTCCCCAGCTCCATTCAGACAGCAGGATCTACCTCAGGGATGCACATGGACCTCTACATGTCCAGCTTTGCACTTGAACCCCATCCGTATAAGCAACAGCTCTGTTATCTGTCCTCCTGTCAGAGAAAGAAACAGTGCGTTGTAAGTGAAAGTGCTGATAGGGAGGGCTTTATCTTTCCCTTGGTTATTTTGCGATAAGATTTGTTGCTTGCAGGCACACCTTTCTTACCGGCTGCCAAAGAAGCCAGTTAGAGTGAAAACAGCTCTAAGACAGAGTGTGCAGTACCTGGGGTGATTCCAGGACCTCATGGCCTCCAAAGGCACCTTTGCAGAGACGGACAGAGGTGCTTTCTCTGGTTTCTGCAAGCTTCTGCCCAGGGGGAGCTCCCCAGCCTTTGTGGTGCAGGATCGGCAGTGGTGTAACTGAAGAGGTCATCCCAGGATTTCAGGGTGGGGAAGTGGCAGGAGCACACACACACACCTCCTTGCCCCCCCCTGCCCCAGCAGGGGATAAGGCTTTTAACAAGGCCCTCAGCCAACAAAATGCCTTGGTCAAAATAAGTTTCTAGAATGCTGACCATATATCACCACAGTTCAGATCAGACCAGGCTATAAAATGGGGTCCCCGCCAGAGACCCCCTTTGAGTGGTTCTCCTCAGAGCAGCGGGTTTGTGATCAGAAACCCTCCCCGTGGACACCACCCAAAGAAACTTCCTGGGATTGAGTGCCCTCACACCCTCCTCGGTGAGCAAATACTTCTGGGTATCCTTGAGAGAGCCCTTGCTCTCTTGAGTGAGCAATTACATCTTCTGGGTACCCTTGAGTGAGGGGGAGTGAGAAGTCTCCCTTTCAGTGAGTGAGTGCACGCACACTTTGGAGTCATCGTTCTTATGTATCATCGTTCTTCTGTGTCCTTGTGTAGTAATAACTTCCCCAGCTGGTACACCAAACTTATAGTTTGTTAAATGTTATCAGAGCATTGTTTAGGTTACCCCCATTGTATGGTTGGTTTTGGCTCTTAGGATTTGGTTACAAATTAAAGTTTGTTCAAGTTTATTGTTTGTGTGAAGCTGCTTTGGTATACCTGCATAACAGGTGCTAAGCACTTGTGAGGGCTTGCCCCACATGTGAGGCCCCTAGGACTGAAGCAGGGATAGGAGTGTTAACTGGTGTCACCGGTGAGATGTCGCATCTGCTGAGACACAGACCCTGCAGGGCCCTGGGACAGTGGCAGCGACATCTCCAGAACCACAAAAAATCCATAAATCGCCCAAATTGAGGGTGACCTCAGGATCTGGCCAGCCCTGTGCTCTGGGAGACAGGCCCTTGGTAAATCAGATAATGGCAATAGAGACCTCCACCCCACCCCAAGAGAATGGCTCTCTGTGTCAGGACATTACAGGAGCCTAAGAGAGCCATCCCCCCTGCCACACAACGGAAAGAAGACCACAAGACCCAAAATGTGGGAAGAAAGAGAAACCGGCCCATTCCTTCCTGGCTTCAAGACAAACCCTGGGTGCATGGCTGTGGAGCCAGGGACACAGCAGCTGTGCAGAGTGGCTCCTGTCTTTGCCCCAGATGTTGTTTCCATAACAAAAGTTTCAGCCTGTCACACCCAACTGTTTCTAACCAAACAGCATCTCAGCAAGATCAGCAAAGTGAGGTTGCCCAGAAATTGAAAACAAAACACTTTCCAGGCTTTAGGAAAGCAAGCTGTTTACCAGGAAGGAAAACAGAACATGAAAAAGGCCTTTAGAATGAACCTAGTAACACAAGGAGCTGGAAAAGGCCAAGCTGGGCGGCTCCAGACAGCTAAGAATCACGGTGGGTTTCAGCTTCACAATGCCATTTGCATTTCTGCAAATCAGAAATGCCTTTCAGAAACATGGATGTGGTCTGTACACTTAAACTACAGTGTGGTGAGGCACCATGCAGCCCTCCACAGGACCACTACCCAGGTAAAACACCCTGCAGGCAGAGAGGGCAGTGGGGCTCACAAGCCGCAGGCAGCAGACAAGTCCCAAAGGACTGTCTTTATGTGAGTGACCATGTTCTCCCTCACCATAACCTGAAAGAAGCAGAAAGTAGACTGACTATGAGAGGATGAAATTTATTGCTTAGCAGAAAGTAGTGAAAGTTGATCTCCAGTGCTTATATGTTTTGCCCAGGCATGAGTAAAAACAAAACAAAAAATAAATTAGTGGAACTGGAAAACCTGTGTGTGCTCTATTCATTATCTTGGTGGTGACTTTCCAGAGAAGCATTCAAATCTTCTTGGTTTTCTGTTTCTGATGGTTGCAGCACCACTTCACCTACAAGGCAGGTGAAAGGTAGATCATTTAATATTGGAAGGGCTTTTGTGCGTTACCCCTCCATGCTGTAACAAAGCCGCCATGGCCAGGCTCCTGCAATTGCCTTTGATGTTAGATAGCTTCTGGTGGCCTGCCTGCTTTTCAGAGGACACAGCAGTCCCAGGGGTTGTGGAGGGGAGTTGGAGAGAGTAAAGCCCTGGTGGGTTTAAAGGCAGGAGGCAAATAAATGCATCCCTGATGCTGGCCTATTTCAAGATCTCCGGGCTGGCAGCTAGACTGGGATGGGGTGGAGTAGTCCCCTGCAGACACCCACCCGTTGCCCTAGTGCCCACCTTTCCCTCCCCCCTACTTTGGTGTCAGCCCCAAAACTGGGTGGACTGTGGGCAATGTGTCCAGGCTTTGGATTTCCCTGACCAGCTCGGGCCTCAAGAGACCACATTTTCTCTCCACAGCATCTCTGCTCTATCCTGGCCCTTGGCCGAGCCACATAGGTGTCCTTAGGACAAGGAGATATTTGGGACCAGGGACCACAGACCCTGTGCTTGCAACTCTGTAGACAGCAGTGGGCTTTTTATTACTCCTCACGACTTGGATAGTGGCATCTGCCCCCCTCCACCGCAACATCCCCCCCTCCCCGCCTTTCACAGCTACCCAAGTCACATTGGTGGAGTAGGGACCCATGTCCTAGTGGTGCTGCAGGCTGGTTGTTGATAAGGTGGGCAACCTTGTCTGACAGACCTCAGGAGGTCACACTGAATGGCCTCCCGAGCCCTCGCAGGGCCAGCAGCTCTCTGGCATCTTACCCCTCGAGTACAGGCTCCAGTCGGGCAGTTCCCCTTCAAAGGGCCCCACTTGCATCTCATGCATCTCACTGAACACATCCTTGCTGGCTAGGGAAGTTTCTGGAGGCACTGGGTCAGCCAGTGCAGGCTTAGTGTGTGCCGGACCAGCCTCCAGTGCATCGGGCTTTGAGTCTGGCTCCAGATGTGGATTGGTGGTGGTCTCATGATTCAGCTGTTGGATTTGTCCTTTCTTTTGTCTTCTGCCTCTTTTTGTCTGTTTTCTCCTGTCCCTGCTAGGGGATTTCACAAGGGTGAAGAGTTGGGCTTGGGGTGGAGGCCTTTCCTTCCTGCCCCAAGGCAACCCGATCCATCCCAGCAGGAGCTGCAGTTCTGCAGCCCTCCTCCCCAGCCCCTCACAGCAGCCTCCTGTGGCCATCCCGGGGGGGGGGGGGGGCAATCAAATTTTTCCCCAGCCCCACACTGTGGTTGAGGATTGCTTGCCACCCAACCCACCACCTACGTAACCCAGCCCCCTTCCACCTCTGCCTCCCGATGCCTGCCTAGACCTTCAGCAGCTACCGGCTGCAGGTCACATTTCCCCACTGAAGACTGATGGGGCCCAGCTCGGCTCTGTCTTTCTGCAAAGATGGAAGGGCTGAGCTGCCACGCCTGGGCTCAAGTGAAATGCACCAAGAAAATGACTCCACAGCATAAGTAAGACTGACCCTCTATACAGCTTTGATGCTTTTTCCATGGATGCTGCTCTTCTTTTCTGCATAACCTCCCGATCTCTCAAGTTGTAGCGGCATCTGTTACCTACAAGGACAAATTGAATGTTGACATGATATCCTGGCAAAGGGAAAGTTCAGTCCCTCCCTGGCAGGTGACGGAGCACTGATGCAAGAGGCATTCTTTTTGTCATGAGTCAGGTCTTGCTACAAAGCTGCTTGGGCACTGTACTTCCACCTCAGCTTCAGTGGGTAGGATCTGATGACACACTACCCAAAACTCCTAGGCTCCTGTGCTAGAAGTTACTCTAAATTTCTAGTTGCAGTTTTCCTCCTGCTGCTGCAGCCTTGGGGTGACACTTCTCTAACCTACTCACCATTGTAGGCACCTGGGGCCTGGTAGAAGCACAGGGCAGGCTTCCCATGCCATGAGGACACCATGAAATGCCTTGGCCAGATATCAGTACAGGCTGCAAGACTGTTATGTTTGCTCAGTTGTTACCCTTTTCCTCATCGAGCTGCAACTGGCCACTGCTGAGATTAGGATGCTTGTCTGACTAACTAGCTCAGGAGAAAGCCTTGCCCTGCAGAACAGCCAGCCCAACAATGTAGGAACAGGTCTGGGGAGGGGCAAGGGGATGTGCCAGAGGGCACAGGCTTTCCTGGACACAGATGCTCATGTGTATTAGGCTGAGACCCTGTAGGGGATGGTGACCCAACCAGAGACCAGGACAGGGTTAGTACACACTGCTGGGGGTGAGGAGACTGGTCCCAAAGACCACACAAGCAGCCCCAAGCAAGACTTTCCTACTTTCTGTTGTTGCCTGCGGGCGGCGGAGGAACGACACGCCGAGACGGGTTCAATGTGGGTGATAGAGCATCATATATCGTGTTTTTTTATTGGTCCAGGGTACATATATTTATACAGACAACACTAATTATTATGCCTACTAGTCACTAGCTGACTGGCTTAATCTCTAAAGGTCGTATTCGCACGGTCCACCTACTTGCAGTTAGCTAACAGCACAAGCTTCTCATAACACTAAGTTTCTCAGACCACTATTTCCAATTCCCCTTAACCTGTTTTCGACACACCACGGTACACAAGCCCGAAGCATCCTTGACATTCCTCCTGTATCAGCAGCTGCGAGCAGCTGCAGGCAAACCCTAGTGAGGCCCAGCATCAGCGAGGCAGCATCAGCCCCTAGAACAGGCTCTGATCGTACAACTGCTCGGTGGGCTCATCACCCTTGTCTCTGAGCCATCCTCCAACAGTTGCCTATTCATTTTTACGTTCTTTTATTGCTGTTTTTTGTATGGTAATTCAGTGAGCCCCCTTTGCTCCCAGCACAATACCATACAGGAAAGGATGTCTCCTTTCCTACAAAAAATTACAGCCTAACCACCTGAAAGAGAAAGGGCACAGCAGGAGGTGGTACAGATGTGAAGTCCATGTGCAACGACAGTGCCAGAGTATCCCAGCCATGGCAAGGGCACCTCAGCAGGACCAGAGACAGTGTCAGCCTCTGAGACAAAAAAAACCTCTGCACGTGGGCTGCACAACATATAGTCATATAGACCATCCCCAAACAGGAGGCAGTTGCCCAAACTGAAGCCGTGCTGGAAACATCAGGGTGCAGCCGGCAGAGGACGACTCTGCCACACACATCCTGGGAAGTTGAGGTTTCGAGCTTCAGTAGCAGGATCTGCACGGGGCTTCAGCCTAACTACTTAAGTATATAATCCCTTGCACATCCCTTTGCACCCAAAGTAACTTCCTTTCCCTTTCAAAATGTCTTGTGAGCCCTAAAAGCATTTTTAGCTGCTTGCAACCAATCTCCTTCCCAACCCATACTAAAAAAATTGTTTCACACCCGGAGCAAACACCCTTCATTCATTTCTAAATGTTCCAAGAGAGCACTCCCACAGCTGCTCCAAAGCTGTCATCTGCTAGCACTAGGCAAGAAAGATCACAGTAAAACATCTGCATCCTGATGAAAAATCATTTAGCAGAGGACACAAAGTTACAGACATGAAGTAAAAAGAAAAAAAATAATCCATCAAGCTAAGATAGCAATGAGACACTATTGCCAGTCTGCAGGCAATATATTGATGCTACCTGAGGGACTTTGTCTGAGTTGAAAGGCCTTTATAGGTGCTTTTGCCTGCCTTTGTGATCTGAAACATAACTCTGGAAAAGCCACATATATTTTCAGTTAAATGTGCATCTTCCAACCTCCAAGCATAAACTGGCAATTACTAACTCATTTTTTAGAAACCACTGGTCACAAAGATCCTTCTCTCCTCTCTCCAGAAACTCAAGTTAGAAGTGGTTTTATCCTTACCTGGCTGATCCTGCTCCACAGTGGAGTCAGTGGGTGGCAGGGAAGAAGAAGAAGCTGAAGCAGCGGAAGAATTGACATCAAAAAAAGTGGCGGCCTCAGAAGAAAGAGCAACAGCAGCAGAAGGAGCAGTAGCAGCATCACTGGGTATTTCATTGGGCTGCTCCATTGTTCTTTGCAGTTTTAAGAAGAAAGCAGCTTAGTTAGGGACAGGCATCTGGAGTTAGAGGAGAAAGGAGCGTAGTAAGAGCTTAAAAAAGGGCAGACTGTCCGCCCCAAACCTCTTATCTATCCAGGCCAATGACAGGGCTGTAATACTCTCCTTATCAGAGCATGAAGTGTTAAGAGTCTCTGCACTTCTGTCTGGATTGTAAAATATTTTAGTGCTTTTACACATCAAATAATTCCACTTCAGCTAAGAAATTTATACTCACTGCTGCTAAACTGTGGCTCAAATGCCCTCTTTTATACTAGAGGGAAGCTGCATGGCAAGACAGGACACAGCACTGCCTCTCTGCTGGTTTCTAGAGTAAGATGCAGGGAGATGTTGTTAGTCCTTGGGGACCCTTTGTGAGGTTTATATGCTGTTTGAAAGGTGTTTGCATAAGACCGTACCAGTTCTGGTGGGAAAAGACCTCTGTCTCCACTCCAGCCCCCCTCACAGCAGGACTGTCCACTGCAGAAGGTCAGGATGGCTGTGGCATCATATACTTCATAAACCCCCTAAGGATGGAGGCTGCAAAAATTCATGTGACCTGTCCAAGGGCTGCACCACCTTCCTGGGAAATTCAGACAGAATAATGAATCTACATCGTGACTCCAGACGAGGGCCTGTGTTTGCTGAGAACCTCCCAATGACCTGGTCCAGCTCCCCAGCAGGCTATGAGCAAAGCACTTCCCTTGTGAAGCAGGATGACAATGGGCATCCCAAGTAAAACCACTAGGAAAACCCAGCTGGTCCTTTGCTCCCACGGGAGGATATCCTCTAGTGGTCACTTCTAGCTCCCTGTTGCCCATTGCAGCCCCAGACCCGCCCAGCATACAGGCACACATAGCCTCTGTAGGACCATCTTTGGGATCAGTATAGATGCACAGGGGAAGCTTCTGCTTGGTACAGTGGCTTTGATCCTGAGATCCTGCTCCCTGCCTTGTGGTCTGCACGGCCGGGCCCCCAGGTCAGTCTGCCTTCCATTTCCTGCATGTGAGATGAGTTGGCAGTCTTGGCCTCCTTTGCAAACTGCCTTCAGGTTTCTTATGCTGGGATAGTGCAGAAAAGCTTATTATACCTGCGTAGAACAACTCTGCTGGACCAGGGACATGTCACCACTTTGGCCAATTTCTACCATACTCAGTGCCAGAGTATTTGGGATTCAGCTTCTACCAGCACTTTTCTCCATGAAATACTCAACTGTTTATGCTCTGGTCAGGTGTTAGTGCCCCTAACACCCCCACCCCACTCCCCAGTGAATTCAGAGTGATTCCAAGGCTGGTAGAAGAATCCAGCTGTGTGGCTACCCCCAGGTCCTCTGGGAATTGCCTGCTTTTAATGTCAAGGATGATCCCACCTTCTTGTGCAGTCCCAAGACTTGCCCTGGAGCAGAGCAGTTCCTCAGGGATCTGAGCAGATCTGGCCTGCCTCCAGTCTTTACCAGGCCTTTTTTTTTTTTTTTTTGATGTACAGACTTCACTCTCTGCAGGTTCTCTCTCTAGGTCCCTGGAAGATCCAAAATTAGAAATTTTGTGCATGTGAGTTTCTTAACACATAACCTGGGGGTCCATGGTCATCTCTGCTGCCTTTCTGCTTATCCCTTGAGTTACCACTTTGCTCTAGGGCTCCTCCCCTGTGTCCACGGCAGATTACATGGTAGCTCCAGAGAGGTGGGGCAGGTTTAACAGCCCCAAAAGAAGAAGCAGGGTGGTGGCAGTAGAGCAGATATGGGAAGGCTCTGATACAGGAGGGTGGGCCAGGAGCATGGATGGCATAAAGAGATGTGAGGCTTCCAAGTCATTCACAGGGGAGTTTCTTGTAGTTCAGTCACAAGGGAAGGCAAAGTCTTCCATGCTGGTGTGGGTGACAGTGTTCCAGCACTGTGTGATGCTGCATAGCCATGGGGTCACCCTGCCTCACGCAGACATCCTGAAAACTGTACCTCGCAGGATGCTCTACCATGCAAAGACAGTGCTTTGGAAGGAGGTAAACATATCACACTTCAAATACTGTGTTCAGTTTTGGTGTCCCCACTACAAGAAAGACATCAAGTTGCTGGAGTGCATCCAAAAAAGAGCAATGAAGCTGGTGAAGGATCTGGAACACAAGTACTGTGAGGAACGACTGAAGGAATTGGGGTTGTTTAGTCTGGAAGAAAGGAGGCTCAGAGGACACCTTATCACTCTCTACTTCTGAGAGGAGGTCGTAGTGAGGTGGGTGTCAGGCTCTTTCCCCAAGTAACAAGTGATAGGACAAAAGGAAACGGCCTCAAGTTGCACCAGGGAAGGTTTAGGCTGGGTATTAGGAAAAATTTCTTCACTGATATAGTTACCAAGCACTGGAAGAGGCTGCCTGGGGAAGTGGTTGAGCCAACATCCCTGGAGGTATTTAAGAGATGTGGTGCTTAGGGACATGGTTTAGTGGTGGACTTGGCAGTGTTAGGATAATGAGTGGACATGATGATCTTAAGGGTCTTTTCCAACCTCAATTCATCTATTCTATGATAATATATACCTGGCCATAGGGGGACATCACCTCTGGTAGCACTCTTTCAAAGAGCATGACATATTCTGGGCTGCTTGCAGGTGATAAGAAACATGGAAGAAAGGGTGGAAATCCCTGGGTGTTTCAGTGCTTCATGAGAACTGTCTGCATGCTCAGGCTGTGGCTAACTCAGCTTCTCCCTCCTCCCATCTACTCAGTCACTCCAAAGCCTGGTGAGGTCTGATAAATCTACTCTTGACTCAGCAAAACATTGCCATGTGACCTGCAGAGCTGGTACTGTGAGTATTTTTCCGTCCCTGCCATCTTCTAGCTGGGTAGAAACAAATAGGTTTGTAAAGAATGTTTGTAAAAGAAAGAGTCACTGTGCCCTCAGAGTCTTTAGATACGCCAATGGAATAGATGGGCTTTAAAATCTTACAAAGTCTGCACTTGCATCTCTCAAGACAGAAATCTCCGTAGATCCATCTCTTGTGTGTGAATTTAAATCCCAAGTAATTGATTTTGTTATCCCATGGGTAGGCTTTGGCAATGGTTAACAGTGTGGAAATTACAGGTTCCACCCCCTATTTTCAAGTTGTGTCTGCTCTGAAGTGGAGAGACTGAGAGGCAGAGACTTGACAACAATGCCAGGGACACTGGGCTCATTTCATTAGGTACATCTCACTCTGCTGGTCCCCCACACAGCCTTCATTACCCAAAAGCTGGGGGAATGCTTTCTCCAAGGGACAACTGGATCTAGGACTTGATCCTGCCACAGGGCCTGTCTCCTGGCACTGTCAGGACTGCTGCCACTGCAGACACAACACCACCAGGCTTTGGAATTATGTAGGAGTCAATGTTCTTTATGAGCCTAAATGTTATCTCTACCCCAGTCTGGCATTGCTACTGCAAGGCAATAGCCAGAGACCTGCCTGTCCCCCCCTGCAGTCACGGAGGCAGCCCTGACGGAGGCAGCCCTGAACCCAAGGTTATCTGGAGGATCAACATGGGAAGCTGGGGGAGCTACACCCCTGTCACTCTAGTAGGGTGTCAGGGCACTTCTTCCAGTTTTGTCTTGCATGACAGTGACAGAGAAGCAATTTTCAGGCTTGTCCTTCACTCCGTGAGTTGAGGCAGGTTTGGGGGCAGCTTGCCTCGCTGCAGTACACTTCTCTGGGAGCAGGACTACCAATAGCATTGAGTGACAGACTACGGTGACTGTGAAAGCAGACAATCTCTTCCTCCCCCTGCCTTGACTGAAGCATGAAAAGATGGGAAACAGATGGGTAACTACAACAGGCAAAACTGTATGCAAAAGTGCAAATCCATGTGTGTACCCCCTACCACAGACCAGTGCATTGCAGGCATCTCTCTGTCCACCAGCTGCCTCCTGAGTCTCGCCTGACCTTGCCAGACACAGATCTGCCAGTCTTCAGAGTCAGGCCCTCTGCACCCAGCTGGGTCCAGACACCTTGCACCAGCCCCTGAGGTCTGCGGTGGTCTTAAATCATAGGGACTTAAATCAATCTCCCTTTTCCTTCCCTCAATCTGCCACTTGCTCTTGACTGTGTGAAACAGGCAAATACACCAGTCCCCGGGGAGCAGGGAATCTCTGAGTTTGCAGCATTTAGAGTCAACACTGATTCTGTTCTGAAGCAGCTCACACTTTGACCTTGAGGTCTGGCCTGCAAGTACGTGCTTTAACTCTGCAGCAGAGACTGAAAAAACACCCCATGTTGTACCAGAGGCATGCAGTTTCTCTCTTCAGAAGAGCCCCCAGATTGCCCGTGTCAGTTTTTCCTGGCCCCTGCAACTAAATAGACGTGGTTCTTGGGGTTATACAGTGACAGGCTGCAGCCACTCTGCTAATGTGGCTCAAGCCACTGTGTGGGGCCGAGATGCCAGTGCCCCCCACGCTCCCCCCGGACCAAGCAGGGAGAACGGCTCCCAGCTACCCACCACGCTATGCTGGCCATAACCTCACCCTCCAGCCTGGCAGAAAGCTGGGACGGAGCTGCCCGAACACACCTGCCTGCAGCTGGGCTGCCAGCAGCAGGAGCAGAAAACCCCAGAGGGCAGATGAGCAATGAATTTGATTGTTCACCATGGAAGTGGTTCTGGGGGTGACAACCCCACCAAAGCCCTTCCGTACAGTGCAGGGGAGACACCATCTGAAAGCCTGCACAGAAGGACCGGCAGTGCAGGGAGCAACATGCAGCCAGACCACCTCTCTCTTGCTACCTGAGGACTGGAAGAGGGCAAGCAGGCTTGCAGAGCCGTGGGAAAAATGAGCAGATGGTGCAATAGCAGCAGCTGTGGACAGGTGGGTAGGGCTGTGTCCCCTCCTCTGCAGAAGTGGAAAGGGTCTGGGGGAGGGAAACATGGACCATCAAAGCTCTGGACAACTCTGGGCAACTAACCAGGCTAGGACTTCTCAGTCTGGGGTAGAGCTTTTAATGAGCGAAAAGCTTTTAATGACAGCAGCTGCCTCCAGGCCAGAAAACAGTCAATGCTGGTTCAGATGGATCTCCCATCTGATGACACATGACTGTTTTATACTCCTTAATACTATTTCCAGCTGCAGCATTAAATCTACCAGCAATGGCTTTGTCATGCATTATGGTGCTGCAGTGTCCCACTTTGTGGTTTCAGGAAGGTGCAGAGTGGGACGAGGCATGTGGGGATGGATTACATGACCAGCTAGCCAAGCACAGTATCCATGACACTGGCACAGCTCCCAGACTTACAGGGTGGTCACTGACTTCAGGGAGCTTGCTTGACCATATGATGCACCCCAGACCCTTACCCAGATGCCTGCAAACGAGTCATGTGGGTAGAGTAGCAAGCCAAATTAGCGTGATCCCTTGTGCATGGGCACACATCTGTCCTTGGAGGGTTTCAATTCACCCTGAAGCACTTTTCAAGGCTCATCAGAAATCTCAACCAGTCATTCTGTAGAGACACAACATTTGATGAAGGACTGAACTGAATTTGAGAGGCAAAACCCAGATTAGCCAGTGCCCTCTTATCTCTGCCACTGCGAGCAAAAGGAGCCTTTTGCATACACAAGTTGTACAAACTCATGACAGGTATTTTGTGAAAGGGGAGTTGTGTCCCATCTGGTAGAAGTGGGAGACAAAAGAGCAGAGGGAGCCCCAGGGACTGTTGATGCACACATACACTATTACCTTGGAGATACACTTACGCTATTATTCCTGGAGAGCATTTCTGGGTAATTAATTCAGTTTGTAGGTTGCTCTGAAGTGCTGGAGCGGAGATCTGGGGTCCCTCGCATTCAGGGTCTTCACTTGGGCTCTTTTCATGCTCCCATGTGTTATACGAGCTGATTCCTGTTGTGAAAGGCTCTTGGATAAAAAGCTGAGTAACATCTAATATGAGAAGTGAAGGTGTTACTATTTTCAATTTACATCAGCTCTGGAAGTGGAGGTGTTTACTAGTGAACCACAGAGTTGTCTTCTCCCATGCTGAAGAAAATTTACTTTCTTTTCCCCTAATTGCCTCCTGCAGAAGAAACCTGTACTTGTTCAGCACCTTCTTCACCAGGATCTGTGTGTTTCTTGCTACTCCCACGTGGCCCTGCTCACAGGAACATGGGTGAAATAGTACAGTGCAGAGCCCTGATTTGTGATGTGGATTTGAAATGAATCTTTTGACTGTACACTTTTAGTAGCCTTTTGTGGTAATTGGGTTGTGTTGTTTTCCCTCAGCCTTGCATAAAAAAGTGCTGTTGAAATAAGATTGTGCATGTCATTTTATTGTTCACTATCTCTAACTTAAATGTGCAACCAGCACAGAGCACACAGGATCAATTAATCATCAGTTTCTAGGCTCAGGAAAGCTACCAGAAAGCTCAGATATCTTGACACTCCCTGTCTTTCAAAATCCAGATGTCTTGTCTGGTTTTCCTAGAATAACACAGGAAAAAAAAGTAAGAGCTCAGAAAAAAACTCCTGAGTCATGTTTTCACTCCTGTCCAGCCCATGGAATGGAGCTGACTATTATAAAATTGGCTTGTTCATTTTCCTGTCTAAAAAGCTGAGGTGACTGCAAGCCACCCTGACCCACAGACGTCCCCTCTCTGGGTGTGCAGCACTGGTGGTGGGTCTCCAGCCCAACTTGCTCACAGCAGGGCTGTCCCCAGTGTGAGGTTATGGTGGCCATGGGTCTGTCTGAGCCCTAACCATGCCCCCCTGCAAGGATGGAGACCCCCCAATGTCTGCATCGTGCACCACCCTCCTGAGGAAGTGGTTTCCCACATGTCCAACCTGTGCCCTCTAGGGCTGCTGCTTGTGGCTGTTGTCCCTGTTGCATTACCTGTTCCCACCAAGAAGAGTGTGGCCCCATCCCGTTTGCAACCATAGCCTGCTGCTAGATCCCCTTAAGCCGCCCCCTCCCCAGACTAACCAGACTCAGCTCCTCCACACCTTCTTGCCTTGCAGCTTCATTTGACAAGCTGGTCATCCCTCTCCTCCTGCAGCCCAGCACGCACTTTGTGTTATTTGCCGTGCAAAGGCACTGCTGATGTATATTCAACCTGATCTTTACCTTTGGTCCCTTTCTATCAGGAACCCCTGCTCAGACACTCACTTCCCAACCTGGATGAAATCACTGCCCCAAATCAACCTTTGTGCGTCTCATGAGTTCCCTGTTGCCCTAGTCCTCAAGTTTATGATGGTACCTTTGGTTTGAAGTTCTGCCAAAAGAGCCATGAGGCATGTAACTGGGAATCTGCATTCACAGATGTCTCTTTGAAGGACTTAGTGGTGCTATTTGACTGTCCAGACTAGATGTCTAGTCGACCTTTTTGCCCACCTAAATTCAACTCTCTGTTCTCTAATTGCAGGCAGCACAGGTGGTGGGGCCTTTTCCCGTCCTCTATGAAGCATCTGGTTTGTTGTCATCTTGCAGGCTCTCACGTTGGAGGGTCTCCTGGCCATGGACTCCTGACCTCACCTTTTGGATCTGCTGATCATGCAGCCACAGGGTGGTCTGATTTAGCAAGCTGATCCAATGGATGAATATTCAGCTCTTCTGTGGGATTAGTCCCCTGCCAGCACAATGAGCTAAATCCCTCAGCTTGCAGCTACAAAGTAGTCACTAAATGTGGTGACAAGGATGGGGCAGGAACATGCAGGCAAGGGCTGGGGGCATGCCTACACCTATCTGCAGGCACTAGCCAGTGCAGGAGGGTGAAGCTCACAGGCTTCACAGCCCACCGCCCAGCTCAGCTGATGCAAAAAGGTTGTCCTTTACTTTGCTAGCAGAAACATGTGTGCTTCCTGTCTACTATGGCTTTTTCTGGTCTTGGGGGAGCCTGAATGACAGTATTTCACAAGTGCTCAGTTTCAAAAGGCCAAATTAGACCCATGGAGGTCTCTGCCAAGGACATGAGCTTACATTTGTTGCACACAGAGCTGGCATTCATTGGCGTAGGTGTTCCCATCGGTCCCACAGACAGGCAAGTACAGGAGGGGGCAGGCCTGCAGTTCGACCATGTCTCCACATACTGGCTGGAAAGGAGAAACCGCAGCATTCATTTCAGTGCTAGCAACATCCATCCCTTCCCCCCACAGCACTGGGACAGGAGCAAGTGCCACTGGTGACCTGGTTCCCTCTGCCCCGGACAGGGCCAGGTGTGCACCCAGAGTGTGAGAGCAGGGAGCAGAGGCTACCACATCCCTCACTGGGACTCACTATCTGGTCTTTGATGTGGATTTGATGCTGGAGCACCAGTACTCATGGGGCTGGGGATGACTGTGGGGAACAGCCTTTCTCCCAGGCATGCCAGGCACTAAATCCCATCTCAAGCCATCCCAAGGAAAATAGAAACCTCTTACCCTTCTCGAGCCATTCCCTTCATTCAGCTCTGCTCCTGAAACAGAGCATGGCACACATGTGACTGGTGGCAGGAGTGCAAGGCATCAACAGAGTCACACCAGTTCCCAACCCCTAATCCCTCTCCGGACCTCCTAATCCTCTCTTCCATTCTCTGGACCAGGAACTCCACAGAGCATCCAAAACACCCCAGGAAATGTGAACACATGCAGTGCTGCACGGGGACATGGGGTATCTTCAGAAGGCTGAGGCTGGGTGAAACTGTACATCCAGGTAACTGATCCCCGGGGAGAGCTGCATTCGGTGGGTGCCTTTTCTGCAGTCAGGCAAAGCAGTAGCAACAGCTCACAGCCCATCTGTGCAGAGCACAAATGTCCTGGGAGCATGAAAGCTCGCACGGTGCTGCAGAACCACCACCACGTGCACCTAGGTAGCACCAGTTTTACAGAGCCTACAAACAGCTGCTCCCCACATAAATATGCTGAGCATATAGTGCTCTTGGAAAGACTTGCAGGGCTTCTTGGAGGCATGAATGACAGTAGATGACACTGTGGGATATGTGTTGTCCTCCCAGATCCTGGTTCCCTTTCTCACTGAGGGCTGTCCCCTATCCCATCCTGCTCCTGAGTGCAATATGGTTGATGAACCAGCCTGTAACCCTTGCCCTGAACCGCTAATAAGGCACAGTGTGTCTCCTCCGGTCCTCCTTCCCCATCACGCTGCCACTGTGTTTGCTTGCCCGCCTCACCTCCTCTCCAAAGCAGAGGTTTTAGTTCGTTCTTCCCTCCCACCCATCTTTGGTCCCTCCGTGGTTCCCAACCCACCCCTGAAGAGCCGGCTGCCAGCAGCAGAGCAGGCTTACCAGTAGCAGCGATGAAAGTCACCAGTGCCACCACCACCGCCAGCAGCAGCTCCCTCGCAGGCATGGCCGGCGCAGACGCACAAGCTTGTGCACCTCGCTCCTCTCGTGGCTGCCTTTATAGAGGAGGGCACCGGCTTATCTCAGCAGTGCTGGGAAAAGCAGCATTTTAAGCAGCGTTTGATCTGCACTGGGAACAGGTGGACTGTGCACCCAGAGGGATCACTTGGGTGCTCTCGTGCAATTGATAAGACACCCCAGTGCCACTTGCCAGCTCCAGGTGCCAGCACTGGAGGCTGCTTTACAATCCCTCTGCGCTGTAGTCTGGATTGGGCAATGCTGCCCTTCTCTGCTCCACCCAGCCACCTTACCTCTGGGTGTATCTCGCCCGAACCAGCCTTCCAGCTTTGCAGCTGCCGCTCTTCATCCATGGCAGGTATCCCCATTTGGGTTGGGAGACTCCCCATGGAAAATCCAGGAAATTCAGGCTGATTTGGGTGGCTGTGCTGTGGCCTGAACATTATTCCATGAGACCCAGCTGCCTGACACACTGGGCAGGAACCTGGGAGGCCTGCTGTCATGCTGCAGCAAGCCCACCCCATCGCTGGGTGGGACAGGACGGGCTGGGGGTGCAGAGTGGCTGGAAGGAACAAAATGCAGCTGAGTGGGAGCAGGAAGCTGCAGGTGTAGCCACTGCCTGTGCTCCTCTACCCATTGTCATGGGCAGTTTAAAACCTTGCTCTACTCACCAGCTTGGTCACATAAACTGTTGCAGCTGAGATCAACAGAGCAAAATGATCTTTATCAGAAGATTCAGTGTGATGGAAGAGTGCTGTGTGCACGGATACCCAGTTTAAATACACAGAGGTGGTACATACAACAGGAAGGGGACAGAGAGGATCCTCAGAGGTAAGAGACACCAACTCATCAGTGAAGGACTTCTCAGCAAGCATGACCACATCAGAAAATCCCAGCTGCTTTGCCTACAAGACTGGATGCTCGACATCTGTCTTTCCATGTAAGCATCGTCATCACCTCTTTCTGACAAGCTGAATTTTCCACACCTGTCCCCACTTTCCTCTGATGAATCAAAATCAATTGGTGAAGGGTGAAGGATGAAAAAGAGGACCACTGTGTGGAAAGTCGGTGTCGCAGCTGAAGACCAGTGTTGACTTAACAACTCCTCTGGGACAGACTTGCCGAGATAAAGTCTGGACCAGAAGTGACAGAGGGTCTTCTTCACCCTGGGAGTGGGGAGGAGATGCTGTGTGCATAAGGGGCAGGGGTAGGTGTCCTACAGAAACCACCAGCAGGCTGGGAGAGCTCCAGACACTCACAGCATGCACATCTGCACTTGCTGAGGAGCTGACCACGACTGTGCTCTCGACGTTTCTTCCCCACAGTCTTACCTGAGGCTTAGGAAGGTACATGCTGGCCCTGGCTGGCTGAAACAAGAGGGAATGGCATGGTGAGATTCCCCTGTGGCCAGAGGGTACAGGCACTGCACAAGGCTACCTCCATCCTTGCCCTTGGGAGGTCCCTCCACCCAACTCAGCGGAGTTGTGACCAGGTTTTGGGAAGGGGGAGGGTGACCGACTGAGGGTTCCCCTTGCAGAACCAATCCTCTGCTCTGCCGGGGCAGCTGTGCACATGTTTTATATTCCCTCTTCATGGAGTTTACACAGTTCAATAACCTTTGGCTTTTATTCTTATTCCACTTTGGAAATCCCTCAACTAAAGTAAATATTTAACTGCATTAGCAGTTGCTCCTGAGGCACATGGGGGCCTGTTGGTCTTGTTTAGTCTACTACAAGGGAGGCCACAGGGGGATCTGATAGCAGCCTACAACTGCTGGAAGGGCAATTGATGGAGTCAGCATCTTTTTGGTAGTGCCAGATGACAGAATAAAAAAGCAACAGGCACAAACTGCAGCCCTGAGATGTTCAGGTCAGGAGTTAGGAAAGAAACCTTACACAGGAGGGTGAGCAACCCAGACCAGCAGGGAAGTGCAACATCTCCACCCTCAGTGGGCTGTGTACAAAGCCACGAGTGCCCTGACCAAGCCCTGCTGTGCACAAGGTTTTGTGGGCAAGCCCTGGAGGGCCCTGCCACCAACACACCGGGTCCTGGGGACACAGCAGCTCTCACTCTCTGGCACATGTGGTTGTACTTTCTTAGGTGCCCACCTTGCAAATCTGGTCCCAGTCAACACCCAGCTATGTGAACAACATGGGGCCACCTCCCGCAAGCTGTTCCCGCACCACTACTCAGCACAACCCTGGATGAGCACTGTCATGGACTTTTACAATCTTCTTCAACATTTTTACTACCAAACCCCCACCCAAATGGTGGCGGTGCTGATGCTGCTGCTGCTGCAGGAGAAACATGCTGTGCAGCTGCTTCCGAGCACAGCCTGGCTCTTTGGGCCAGTGGCAGTACAGGAGTAATGGTCTGGGGCTGTGCAGCTGGGACATGTTGTGTGCACCAGATCGCTCTCCTGGACTGAAGGCAGCAGGAAATGTCTGTATCCCCTCTGTGCTGGAGGCAGCAGGTCGTGTGGTGCTGTGGAAAAGCCATTGGCTGATACAAGACTTGATCTTCCTTTACCTGGTTCCTCAGTGGTATTCAAATGCCACTGCCTTTACAGACCAAATTAAAATGACACACTGAGAGATGATGAAGGGGTAATCACCTCTTGCAAATTGGTTTTGTCTTTTCCTGCTTTTCTCTCAAGAACAGGCTTGCAGCCTCTGATGAAAGTCCTGCCTACTATCCCCCTTAAAGAAGAGGTGGGGAAATTCTTCCTCGGGTGGGATGGAAGGTTTTCTGGTGGCTGCTTGCCCTCACATTGACCATGCAGTTCCAGCTATGTCTGAGACAGTCATGCATCTGAGCCTGGGCTTTTCTCCTCTGCATTGCAGCTATCGTGAAGAAGGACACCCTTCTGCTGTCCCCAGTGGGTCTCCAGCTCCCACATGCTCACCAGCACCCGCCCACTGGTGTCCACACAGCCTGCCCGGTATTGTTCATCACACTGCATGTTGCATCGTGAGCCCTTATCATGCCTTTGCCTCCTGGGTGACCACGGTGCTGTCTGCAGGCTTTCCATCTGGCTGGGCACAGATGGCAGGAGGTTAAACCGGATTGCATCACATCGCTCTTGCTCCACTTGCTCTTGCCTGATGGCCTTATCTGTGGTGTGGCCTTGGTGTCGTCACAGCTCCACCCAGCACCTGCCAGTTCCTTGCTGTTATCTGTTGCCTTTCCTGGATTTCATGGCTGTTCTCAGCCTCCCAGTTTGCAGCACTCACACCAACATTTTAACTCCTGTTCTGCTGCTCCTTCCAGGGTTTTTGTATACCAGCAGATGCCAGGGACCCACAAACACCACAGTGCCCTGGGAACAGAATGTTGTTGCCTTGCTCCTGCAGCCCAAGCCCAGAGCCCGCAGCCGATCCTCCTGTTGCACAAGGGGACAAGTCATAAAGAGGAGGGCAAGTACCACGCTCATTTTCATCCTCAGCTCCTTCCCTGCCTCCAGATGGTTTTCACAGAGGTGACGCTAGTCTCTGTTCTGCCTCTCCACTCACCTTGAGGTCTCCACATTAGAAAGAGGGAGAAGGACCAATCTGTTCTCTTTTGCACAAAAAAAAACCAAACCAAAACAAAACAAAAAAAAATTAATAATAAAAAAAAAAACCAAAACAAAAAAAAAAGCAGGAAAAAAAAAAACAAACAAAAACAAAAAAAACAAAAACAAAAACAAAACCACAGAGATGCAGGTGACCAGAGGTTTTCCTTTGGATATATAGGGGAGCCAGAACCTCACATCTGACAAGATGTCCCTGGGTAACCAGGGCAGGGACCAGCCATTGCCACTTCCTGGCAGTTTCACCAGACTTTCTGGATCCAGACCACACCTCTGACTGCCTCCCTCCTCCCTTTATTACTGTGGGTAAATACTCCCACGTGGCTGGCAGTGAGTAATGCTCATTATTTCTTTGATGATTCAAAAATTTCCCGGTGGCACTGCTGGCTGTGAGAGCACAAGGCAGGGAAAGTACACAGATAAGTCCTCCTGCCTGCTGACGTTCCTACCTACATAGGGGACAGGGTCAAGGTGGTATTGATCTGGAGATCAGAGCTTCCCACCAAGCCATACTGTGTGCTGGACCTCAGAGGTGCAGCAGGCTAGGGGGAACATCCATTGCACACCTTTTTCCCCTGCTTCACTTGCCTGCTGGAGTCACAGTAGCTGGGCAGAAGTTGCGGCGGCTCACCTCGATCTGAGGACACCTGCCTCTCTTCTCCTTTAGGTTTGACTCTGCCTATTCAGACTTCTGGACTGCAAGGCATGCTCCGAATGCATCTGCAGTCCACAAATGTCCTGCAGCTCCCTGGTAGCTTAAGGATGGTGTTGACCTTCCTTTTCCACGTGCTCTCATGTGAGGGATGGGTGTCCCAATCTCAGTGCATCAGATAAAACAGCAGAAAACCATGGATTTACTTTTTCCCCAGCAAATACTCAGCATAGGGTAAATCAAGCCACTGTGCTGGCCTAAGGGAAGGGATAAGTCTGTGTGCCTGGGCTGGATGGTCAGACCTCTGAGCTACCTGATCTGGGATTGCTGCGGGACCGTGCCCTTCTGCTCTAAACTGACACAGTTAATCTGGATGCTGGCAGCAGGGGTGGGTATACTGGATGTCCCAAGCATACTGATGGTCACTCTTGTTTATCTGGGAACTTGCACCCACTGTACTTTACCAAAAAATCAGACTTTGGAGTCTCTTTCTCCCTAGAGTTTGTTTCTGAATGAACAAACCTGTACTGGGCCTCAGTCTTTTATACCTTCTGAGAACAGTGTTACTAATTCCATCTCATGTAGGAACAAATGCTGTCACCATCCTGCGTTTAGCACCCCGCTGGAGAGGTTCCTTGGCTTTTGCAGGAACGGCCTGGTTTTCCCAGTCTGTCACTTGCTAAAGCCCCTGAAGCTACCCCAGGATGAATTAATGTGTGGTGCGTCTGGCTGAGACTAAGTTAATTTTATCCCCTAGCAGTCTTCATAATGCTGTGCTTTGTATCAGTAGCTAGAAAAGTGTTGAGAAAGCTTTGGTTTTGCTTTGTTAAGCTGTCTTTATCTTGATTCATGAGTTGATTCACTATATTTTTGATTCACTGATTCTTGATTCACTATATTTTGTCTGTCCTGTCCAGGTGAGGGGGTGAGTGTTAGACAGGTTTTGTTGGGTACCTG